TAAATTTGCAAGCAAACTTTTGATTCTTAAAAGTTAGCCCAAGTAATTTTTCATAACTGACATAAGAATTTGCTATAAATGTTAATTGAAGCAGAATGTGTGCTGTCATATATAATATAGCAGCGCTGCTTTCACTAGATATATTTCAGACGACTTGATATGTGTTTTTAAACTTAGAATGCTTAAAATATTTTCCCACCAGATTGCAATTACTCACAGATGTAACCTGTGTTAGCAATTTCCTGAAATTCAGCAGCCCTTGAATTTTACAGTAAGTAATGGATATATTTTCAGGTGGTAAACAATACTTAGACAATTCTGGGAGCTTAGAAGGTAGCTAATTGGACAATGCTTCCAGTAAGAGGCTCTGCATCTGCTTTAGAGAGATTAACTGCACTTTAACCCTTTAAGGATTAAGGCCTAGTATTTTGACATGCACTTGCTTTCTTGCTTATCAATTCTACCCCCACATATTATAAACATTTTAATATGACATATAGGGTGTTCTTTTAATATAAAATACATATGTATAATGATTTAATTGTTTAGCTTGATTAAAATATAAAAAAGGTAAAAACCCTATAATATTTATTTTGCAACTAGTGTAGCTAAAGAAAATACATCATATGGATTAATGTATTTCTAAGTATACCTTGGAACTATATCATATTACAGGTTACAAAGAGTGCATTACTTCTTCAAAATTGTATGTACCCTAAAACTATTATACAGTTGTATATATTTACAAAAAGTAGGCACCCCCAAGGTAATTGACTATGGTCTTTGTAATACTTTTCCTGGTACCATTTAATTAGTAGACTGCCAAAACGTCTGATGATAATTTTGTGTTACACACACACACAAAAAAAATAATAATCTGGATTTGTAATAAGAACTGTAGCTGTTATTGATGTAGCCATTTTAAATTTGACATGAAGAATAAGCCACAATTGAATATGTGTTTAAGTAACCTGTTAGAATGGCTCGTCACCATCTTGACATCTGCCTACAGTAAATACAGCTTCATTGCCAGTATTTCCTGGTATCCATAACACAACATTGCCCAGAGTCCGGATGTGAACGTTACATGAACAAGTGACTGGTATCCAGCAGAATTAATATGTAACATCAACATAAAACAGTGTTCCGGATAAAAAATAAAGGGGGAATAGAGGATAGATCCGAAATAAATAGTAAGTCAGATGTATATTGAGTCTAATGAATATAACAAGAGGACAGACACCTGAACAGTGAGTAGGACACTATAGCATTAGGAATGTTTCCAAGGTGCAAATTTGGACCTGAGGCTGGCAAATTCAATACTTGAGAAGAAAATACAATGTGATCCAGGCCGTCAAGGGTTTTGAGATGGCAGATTTATTGAGGAATCAGTGCACAAAGTGACTACAGCAACATTTCAACCTCAAATTTGGTCTTTATCAAGCTAACACACCAGTGCATAAAAACAGTATATATAAAATACAAAATTAACAATAATGAACAGTGAATAACAGATGTACACTTCGTTAACCAAATGGCCCACATCTGAGTCCAAGTGACCACAGGATAATCCACATTAGATTATGTAATACCGTCAAAACGGAGGCGTTGATCAGGTGTAAGTGTGCCAAAGGGCATGACAACATGAAGTGCACATGCATCTGTAGATGCAGATGAAAGCAACGCAGCAACACAGAATTGTGGCATCTGTGCGTCGTGACGCATGACGCATGATATGTAATTACGCAAGAACATCATGATGTTACAATGGCATGTAAAATATCACCATGGAGACCAATGCAGACCAGACTGAAAGCACATAGGGCTGAAATAGCATAACGATAAAAAGAACAAATAAAAAATTATTATTAAATAAAGAGTTTAAAAGTGAGAACGTTACTTTATGTTCACTGCTTCAAGGTATACAAACAATTGGAGAGCAAGTGAATTAATATAAACATATTCAAATATAAGGGATTGCAGTTTTTGTGTATATTAAAGGCAATTGATACATTCAAATGTATAATCAACAAGACCATATACAGACACATCTAAAATACACTCTAAACTAAAGCAATGTTTGTTGTAAAAGTCAATTAGTCCCTAAAGAATAGAAATGGTTCACATAAAAACCCCATGCAAAACCTTAAAATGAATGGCAAAACAAATGGATACCGGGTATCATGCAAATATTACTATAATCCATAAAGTAAATTAAACATAATGCTTTTCTTTTAATTATTGCACCATATAAAGTGAAAAAATATATGTAAACAAATACATACTATAGTATTTTAAAGTGCAAGTAGCCAATAGTCAATATACCTGGAATTAATAAAGATGAAATTAATTATATAGAATAAAATAAGTGTAAATTAAAGAGCAACATGCTAAAAAGCCCACCACTGTGTAAAAAATATACTAATGTAATTATATCCTAATTAGAAGATAATAATCACTAACATTTAAATATAATTAACAACATGATGAATTATACAGAAAGTGCAATTAAAGTGCATAATTATAATATATAGTAACTATAGGGCATACTTACTAAAAAACATTGGTACTGTGACACGGTTTGGCACACAATCAGCCCCTCAATTTATCAATAAAACGGTTGGCTCTTAATAAGCTACAGAAGAATTAAGATCTGGTAACCAGACCGGCTGAACGTGGGGGTGTGTCTGTGGTCCAAAGCAAGACTATATTTTTACGGCAGGCAAAATGAGATAAAATATATATATATATATATATATATATATATATATATATATATAATTAATGTTATTATAAGTATATTTTAATATTTATATATATATTTATATAGATTAATATTAAAATACCCTTCTAATAATGATTTATGTATGTGTATATGAAAGTACTTAGATCATAGTACTTTTATTTACTTTTTAAAACTTTTATTTAAGTTTTACAAACTTTGTAAAACTTTTCTGCAGGCATTAAGGTGACTGCCTGAGAGCTCAGACAGGCCCCTGCAGGCACTGCACAAGCCGGCTATTCCGGCCATGTGATTGTGAGGACCTTGCAATCACATGGCATGGGAGTGCCGGGTCGGGCATTGGGGGTCTGCCTGAGATCCCAGGCAGACCCCAGGATCACGAGCGGCGGGGGATCGCCAGCGATCAGGTTAGTGGAGATTTACTATCAGATGTACCAGGTAAGTCCGAGGTCATTAACGACCATTTTTTGTCGGTATGTGATAATAAAAATAAATTCATTAAAATAAATAAAATTACATTTGGAGCAAAGGTAAAATGGCTTTAAGAGGGGGATACTAAGATGGCCAACTCAACCCACTTTGTAGAAGTTTAAAGATGGCCTCCATCTAAGTTATAGAGCTTCAGGCGGTTAAATCACTAAAAGAGCGAGGAGGGGTTGGCATTCAATAAAATGGAGGGTGGGGAAAGCAGCTCTGCCCCTAAAACAAGCAGTAAAATTTGAATTGTGTTACTTCCACTTCGGAGAGCCAACATGGCGTCCGCGACCCACACCACGTGATAAGCGTGGGTTGCATCGTCAAAGAAACCACAGTGGGATGGGGCCTCTCAACGGTAGGGAAATGGAAAGGTAGAGTGGCTTAGTGGTACCCCTCCTGTCCATTCTAGTGGGCAACAGAACAGCCCTCCCCTACATGGTAGGAATTCTGGGAAATGTAGTTTAAGGGGAAATAGTAATGCAACAATAAGAAAAGGAACACTTTCCATGCTAAAACAATATGGGAGGCATATGTGATAATAGTACATGGAGATACATTAAAAATAATATTAAAAAAATAATAATAAAATACAATACAATACAGAGAAATGTATAAAAATGGAAGGAAAAAAATGAATAATACAAATAAAAAATAAAAATAATGTAATAAAGAGGTTGCAATGAATAAACGAATGAACCTATATTTGCTCTCAGCTGTTGAGTATACCTCGTTTTATTTATTTTTATCTTCCAAATAATATACAGAGAGCACTATATCCTTTTTATTTTCCTCCTATGTACTGAGGACATCTGATTGCTGTATGGTTGCACGTTGAAAAAATAACACCTCTACAACCGCTGAGGATACCTTTTGAACACGCATAAAGATCACCAACATATCCACAGACAGGGATTGTACCATCCAAGTGCATATATCTGGAGCTGAGCATAAACTCCAGAAAATTGCTAGTGCATCTTGTTCTATTTACTATTATGAGCAATCTGTAATATACTACACTATATTACGTCCTCTCCTTTTAGCCTTAATATTGCTTCGGATTTGAGAAACACCACCACAGGCGCTGCTTCCCTGCATCTCCTTTTTCATATCCATCGTACTACCAGAAAGAAGAGACTCTGGGTTGGGAAGTTCTAGCTGCCAAAGTCAAATACACAAGCACCAAACAATGTAATCTCATTTTTCTATAAATCTACAAATGCCATGATTATGGGTTTTTGCAAAAACCCTGATGGTATTTCCAGGAATTTAGCCTTCTAAAAATATACCCATATAATAAAATTTGTGCTTTTATGTAAGTACGGTACAGTTAAACAAAACAGTTAGAGGTTTAGTACCCATTTGTTAATGCTTTAAATATTTGTTTTACATCTGGTAACATAGTTACATATATATAACAAGAAAAAAACATGCAGGGGGTTGAACCTGACTGGTAAGCGGACCTGCGAGAGCGGACCTGTGCTGTGAGAGCTCCCACGTCTGGCGCTTAAAAATCGGGAATATCCCAAGCCTATACATTAATCTGACCGCAATTAAGCAATATTCTTACTATAGAGGTGACAGTCTTTCATGGGATACCTTCACGAAGTGTCTCCGTGACCGGATTGCCTGACATGCTTACTTCGAGAGACAGCTGCTCTCTAAGTTCTACAGCTGACTGTGTGGAGTCTATACAGTGCTATCCTCCCCCCCATCTTTGGACCGGTGGGGTTTATCCCGGTCCCTGCTGGACTGTCCCACGCTGTTTCTCTTGTTGCAGAGGATGGCTGCCACTAACTGCCTGAATGATAAGCAACCTAAGCTGGCGTACGGGCCTTCTTCTGCAACACTACACGTCGAAGGCAGGGAACAGTCTGACCCTAACGGGTGCTTCACACAGAGACTGGAGGCAATATTTACAGGCTTTTGGGCTCAGCTGGAAGAACGATTAGCTACCTCACCACATCAGCATCTGAGAGAGGCTTGTCGGACAAAGCAACATGTCCCACACCTGTCTTACCCATCAAGGGCCCGTAAGAGCTGAATGCTGCTCAGTGCTTGAATCTACAACACCACCTACCTAGAAGGATGCTCGTTACTTGTAAACGGCGAAGGGCCACTAGGTTCTCCTGACATGTTCCCTCGGAAAGCTTAGGGGTCTGTACTAGGGGGAGGAAGACCCTGTATCAAGCCTGGTGCTGGAGGTGGGCCCTTACTTGGTACGAAGATATTGAATACCTTGGTGGACTATTTAAATATATTTCAGGACTGTCAAGCACAGGAGTAGGCTGATCACTGAGCCTTAGCTGAGAGGTGACCTACAGATACATAGAAGTGTCACTGTGACATCTGCACCCACCTTATGTTCTGCACACTTTTGTTTTATTTTGACCTGTTGTCTTTATCGGTCTTACTTATGTCTACAATAGGTTCCTGACAATATGCCTCTTCCCAGAGCTGATTATTTATCTTAGTTCAATGTTGTCCACCTGGGGTTAGCACCCCCTAGATGAAACATGGAGGCCACTCGCCGCCGCTAACCTTCCACATGTTACTAATTCTTGCTATTCTACAGCAGAGCCAAATATCTAGTTCCAGTGGTCTTTTTCCTGTTCTCTCAATTAGTTAGTATGCCTAACTGAACAAATAATTTATTCTATTTTAACCCTGACTAGCAAACCACACTCACATTGTCTTATTTCCTTTAAAAAATGTGCTTAACTCCTGACATGTCTAGTATTTCCAATGTAATGTAAAATCACATGTTCCAATGTAATATTGCATGTTTTCATTCAATCTGGAGATGTGTCATGCCAAGTCTGTTTGTTATTCGTAGCACAACAAAAATAAAGAATATAAAAAAAAAAAAAACATGCAGAACAGTGATGTCATGCTTTATGGTTGTTAACGTTATAGAAATATGTTTATGTTAGAGATTTCTGACTGAAGATATTATCTGATCATATTATCATATTTAGAGATTAAACAGGCCCGAGGCACAAATCATATATATTTAAAGAACTATGTGAATATCCATATTTTGACTTTCCCACATTTACATGAAAAGTAAAAGTAAATACTGACTTATGTTAAAGACTCCTGAAATTTTACATTCTTAGTCCATGGAGCTCTGATAAATAAATCATTTCTTTAACATTCTCAAAGGAATGTGAGATAAGTGATGAGATAATATAAAAAGAAAAATACAAAAAAAGGATGATTTTTTTTTACATTTCAATACAGTCTGTGAGGTTTATAGACCTTTCATACAGTTATGTAGAGGCCATACTGGTAAATTAGTAGGGCATTCCATCCTTGCACAGATTCTTTATTAATACCCATAAACAGTGTATTTAAATATTTATATTTACCTATTTATCTCAAGTATGTGACATACGTTGTATTTCTGCTAATATGCTAACATTACAGAACCTTTTTTTAAAAGGGTTATTATGTATCCAAATGCCAAAAATAGTCTTTAGAAATCCACTTGCTGTGTTATTAACTAACATGAGAATTGTCAGGAAGACAATGTGAATTCCAAATTTAAGGCAAAGGGAGGCAAACTGGAAGTATATCTAATTTGGCAATTTTTTCCAGCTTACTATTTTGGCCTTAAATTTGAAATACCCTGTTACTTCTTTTTTTTGTTTGTTTGTAATTTTCTTTCCTTTGATGCTGGTTCTAGCAAGTGTTATTGGTAATTGGGAGAGCCAGCATTAGCAATTTACAGCCTCTATTTAAAATTGTTGAATAAGCTCTCCAAATATAATGGCAAAGCAACATCCCACACGACAGAGGTGTTAAACATGTCGAACACTTCTTAAACCAGAGAGGAATCGAGTATCAGACTCAGACAGCTTTTCTGTTAAAACTTCTGGGGTTTATCCTGTCACACAACTACTTCCTATTCCATAATAAGTTCAACCACCAAACCAGGGGCAATGTGATGGGCACGGATTGTGCCCCATCGTATGCCAATCTCCACCTGGGTTGGTGGGAGGAACAGCTGTGGAAGTTGGAATCTCTGTCAAGATACACCTCGAAAATTAATTTATGACATCACTGTATCAATGATATGTTGGTTGTGTGGCAGGGTACCCTAGTAGAGTTCACTGAATTTGTGTCCATCAGGAACATTAATGAGGAGAACCTCAGATTTACTGAGTTTGGAGGTACCTCTTTAAACTTCTTGGGCCTCACTACTACAATCACTAATGAATGTTCTCTCTCTACCACCTTGTTTAGGAAACCCTCTGCCTCCAACTCCCTCCTATGTTGGGACAGTTACCATCTGAGCTCACTGGGATGTGGTATCCCAGTAGGACAGTATCTCAGACTGCGGAGAAACTGCAGTGATATCATTGATTTCAAATGGAAAACTCGGACACTCAAACAACAATTCAGAGAAAAGGGCTACCCGAATAAGTGCCTAACAGGAGGGCGTTGGAGGCTGAAAGAAATGTTCTGTTAAAGGACCGCCCAATGTCTGAGAATAAAAACAAAAATAAAACTATCCGTATGATTGCAACATACGATGCAGGTTAGAATGAGGTGCAAAAGTGTATCCAAAGATTTTGGCCAATCCTGACGAATGACATCCATCTGAGAGAGGTCCTTTTCCCAGGGGTGAATATCACTTCTAGAAGGGGCAGGAACTTCAGGGACATGTTAGTCCCAAGTCATCTACAACCTAAGACATGCCCCACTAAGATATGGCTGGGCACTCCCCCTCTTGGCACCTTTCAATGTGGGAGATGTGTGGCATGCAAACACATCCAACGGAACTCAAAAAAGTTGACTGACAGTGAGGGTAATCAAACCTTCACAGTCAAGCACTTCTTTAATTATGATATGGGCGGGCTTGATATACCCAATATCATGTAGATGTAACATGAAATATGTGGGTAAGACCTTTCGCCCCTTTAAGGAGAGAATAAAAGAGCACGTGAGGTCTCCCAAGAATCGAGTAGAAACACCTATTTCGAGACATCTTAAAACCATGGGGGAATCCCAAAGTTCTAATATCCTGTGGCCTAGAGCTGGTTAAGCGAGACCAGAGACACAGAGACTTCGACAAATTTTTGAGAAAAAGGGAGTGTATGTGGGTATATAAATTAAAAACGCTTCATCCACTATGGTTAAATCAGGGTTTCTTTTTCTGTACATAGACCTTTTAACTAATATTGGGTCTTTTTTCTAAATACAGATCTCACCATTGGAACCTTTCTATCCAGTGTCCATTCTTTTCTGTTGGAATCCAATTATAGTTAACCAAGTGGACATTACAAAAGAAAATTGGTTGATATATATTTATATATTTATAGGAATACTCTCCTGGGATGATAAAAGGATTATTATTATTTTTGTGACAGCAACTTTTATATCCACTATGACATATGTAGGAGTGCGTCACCACATTGAAGGAATGGCTGAGATCACTGATAATGATCATTCATTAGATAGTCTGTCAAGTGCAACATTAAATCCAGCAGCAGCACTTTTCATACCTAGCCGTAGATTCTAATTTACTGTATTCCACTGATAACGATCACCTACTGGACAGTCTGTTAAGTCTTACATTATACACAGCGGCAGCACTTTTCATACCTAGCCGTACTTTCATTCGAGTCTCTATTCTTATATTTGTCTGATTTTTGCTACTTTCTATGGAAATGTGTTCACTTTCTAACACCCCACTGTGACATATATAGGGGTGTATCACCATATTGAAGGAGCGGCTAAGATCACTGATAACGATCATTAGATAGCTTGTCATAAGCAACATTAAATCCAACTGCAGCACTTTTCATGTCTAGCCGCAGATTTTAATTTACTGCCTTCCGCTGATTACGATTGCCTATTACAAAGGCATTTGCTCATGACAAAGGCAGGATTTACTGCTGAAATGCGCGTCGAGCTACTTAGCTTGGTGCTACTTCAAAGTGCTGTTTCTAAGTGTGTAGTTGGAGATATTCTGGAGAGTTTTACAGAAGCTTCAACTGTCTAAGAGTTGTGTTAAGAGCTTTCTTTTCTACTGTTACAGGTAAGATTCATCTGTAGGAAAAGGTCACTGATTGCACAAGGTTTGAATTCCTGTTGGTAATTATAAGGCATTTGATTTGATTAAGCTAGTTACTTGCTGTTGATTGCTGGTTAATTAGCTATTGTTTTCAAATAAGCAGAGGCCTACCCAGGTGTTAAACATTCCTAGTGGGCGGTGATTTTAGGAGTTATATAAGGCCTGGTGTCATTAGCTTGTCTAATATAGCTTGGTGCTACTTCTAAGTGCTGTTTCTAAGTGTGTAGTTGGAGATATTCTGGAGAGTGCTGTTTCTAAGTGTGTGGTTGGAGATATTCTGAAGAGTGCTGTTTCTAAGTGTGTAGTTGGAGATATCCTGGAGAGTGCTGTTTCTAAGTGTGTAGTTGGAGATATTCTGGAGAGTGCTGTTTCTAAGTGTGTAGTTGGAGATATTCTGGAGAGTGCTGTTTCTAAGTGTGTAGTTGGAGATATTCTGGAGAGTGCTGTTTCTAAGTGTGTAGTTGGAAATATTCTGGAGAGTGCTGTTTCTAAGTGTGTAGTTGGAGATATTCTGGAGATAACCTGGAGGTAATCTGAGGTATTCAGGAGGATAAAGAAAAAAGTTAAGATTTGTTAGATTTAAATTATTCTCATAATTGGAATGGCAGGCTTAGTTCAGTGTAACAATTGCTATGCATTTGTTTCACATTCCACTTTTTGGAGGTTTGGTTGTTGTCTAATCTGTAGACAGTTCTCTATCTTGTGGCAGGAGATTGTATTTTTGAAGTCTGAGATTTGTAAATTATCTGGTGAAGAAACTCAGACTGGAACTGCTGCAAAGCCACTGCCGCAGAGACATGCTAGGAAAGACAGATGGATTACTGTAGGATCTGGTAGACTTAGAGTTGTGGATAAAAGGCATTTTGCACAGTCTGTTGCTCTTCATAATTCATTTTCTGCACTTTCAGAGTGTAATGGTG